TAAGTAGTATATAAATCTATAAGCGCACATTATATAGAAATGCTTCCATCAGGACACCGAACACATTTACAACGTATTTACCGATCATAATATGTTGTTCACCCAACAAAACAATATTAGAATTGCGGGCACTACGAAGGTACATTTAGCGTTACACCGCATGACACAAATTATATTACTATGTACTTTAAATATACCTTCACATCTCATTTCGATATAACAAATGTGTCACTATTTAATCAGTTTGTAAAAGAAAACTAAAATCTTGAAGGCGACTTACAAGTTTCGTAATAAAATAGAACTGAATGGAAAGAATGCATTGCTTTTTTGTATTATTTTGTTTAATCTAAGCTTGTTCAATCTCAATCTCAATTGTGACTACGATTTGTCGATTTATTTCAATCGTATTTAAACGGGAATCTGGGACATTCCCTAGACGGGATTCAATTTGTGTAAATTTAATAGATATATAAGGATTGTAGCCTGTCTTTGTAACTTGTTTTATTATGCTGAAAAAGTTTATGCTGTGCAGACGCTATTATATATCGATTACTTCAAGCTTCTTGTCAAATTAAAAACTTGGCGATTAAAATAAGCGGTGGAGAGATTCTTGCCAGTTCTCGTCCAGCTTTGATTACTAGTAGCAAGTTAGTATGATTATTTCTTAAATATACCTTATATGAACTAATATGGTTGTTTGACGGATTTGATTCTCATGATGCCATTGGAGTTTTTTGCGACTTATCAAAGGCTTTTGACTGTATCCATCACGAAATCCTAATCAAAAAACTTCAACACTATGGCATTGGCGAAAAAGCGCTTAATCTTATGGAATCATACCTGAGCGATAGAATTCAAAAGGTAAATGTAAATGGAGCTATATCACAGGGATCCTCTGTTACTATGGGAGTACCGCAAGGCTCCATACTTGGTCCCTTCTTATTCCTCGTCTATATAAATGATCTACCATTTCTTGTAAAGGAGCTTCACGAGATAGTACTGTTTGCTGATGACACTTCGATTTTATTTAAAGTGAAACGACAAAATCCATCACTTGATAACGTAAACAGTGCCATCTCCAGTGTAGTTCACTGGTTTAATACAAATAATCTTAAGCTAAACGAAAAGAAGACAAAATGTGTTAAATTTATAACTACAAATGTAAAAAGTAGTCATTCTCAAATAATAATTAAAGACGAGGAAATAGACTTTGTTGATAATGCGGTGTTCTTGGGAATTACTTTAGATAGTAAGCTCCAGTGGGGACGACACATAGAAGGTCTTTCGAATAGGCTAAGTTCCGCAGCGTTCACATTAAAAAAGATACGCGATCTTACGGATGAGAACACAGCAAAGCTCGTTTATTTCAGCTATTTTCATAGTATTATGTCATATGGTGTTATTTTGTGGGGTAATGCAGCTGACATTAAATCGATATTTGTAGTGCAAAAGCGGGCTATAAGAGCGAACTGTGGGTTGTCCCCACGGGAGTCGGTCCGAAGCAAGTTTAAGGAATTACATATTTTGACTCTGGCAAGTCAATACATTTATGAGAATATTTTGTATGTGCGGAAAAATATAGATATCTTTAAAAAGAATAGTAGTTTCCATAATTATAGTGCTCGTAATAAAGGCAAAATTAGCGCACCAACCAGAAGGCTGCATAAAACAAGTAATTCTTTCCAAGGCAATTGTATACGTTTTTTCAACAAAATCCCTAGTGAGATACAAGTGTTGTCAATAAATAAATTTAAATCGTACATTAAAGTAAAACTGCTTGCTAAGGCTTATTATAATATAAATGAATATTTAAACGATCCTAGTGCTTGGATATGAGTTGCTCCAGTATAAATAGGTAACGCGACTGAATCTCTCGGCTGCATTTCCAGACTCTGGGGCGATCGTCAACATCCACGACTATTTTAATGTAAAGTGGGAACAAACCGTGATCCATGTGGTATCAAATTATTTCAGTATTATTATTATTTTCTTATGTAGCCAAGTCCACATTTCAAGGATCGTCATGCTCGCTTAAATGTCATTGCTTGTGGCGGCGTCCATGCGTCGGGTTGTCTCTCTCCCTAAAATATGGCGAGGGGGCCGATGGCTGGCCATGCGTCATACTCGTGAACGGGTGCTACTTGTGGTGACTGGTCGTACTTGAATTCGTGTATGCGGTGATGTTAATTATTTCGACTATGTGTTTGCGTGTTGTTCCCACGAGAATGTAAGTGCGTGCTCCTATTTCACCATGCCTCCTGCTGATAGAGGACAACTCTTTGTTTTTAATTTATGTTATTATTATTAATTACTAAAGATGTCATGTGGAACATGGTTTAATGGTTGCAGCTCCTTACAAACGTTGTGTAAAAAAAAAATGGCGATTTAAAAGAGTGGCGGAGAGTTTATTGCCAGTTCTTCTCTTCCGTTCTACGCCCTTGATTTGAGAACTGGCACTAAATGTAAAATTAGAAGCATTAATATTATGTATTTCTTTGCTGACAAGTCATAAGTGTACAATGTGTTACCCATATGATTAAATGATTTTTTGAAATTTTGATTCAATCTAAACAGTATTCATAATTTTTGTTTTCAAATTTTTAAGATAAATGATCTAATGGTAGAACAATATCAACTATACAAAAGAAAATTAAGTTCAACTGGTTTATATATCAAATATTTAAATTCTTTCCAATCGCTATACACATTTGAAGTGCACAGAACATCCCTAATGAAAAACTCGGTATACGCACAGAAGCACAGACAATAAAAGAACTAGAAGTAACTAAAGTACAGAGAATTTCCTTTCGAATATGACTAGAATACCAATGCAAATTCAGTTAATTTCATTTCTGATAGTAGTGAGTTTAATCTTAGCGAAATAAATGTAACAATGCGACTGTTTGTGAATGGAAGTGACAGAGACGGAATAATTACCATTCTCTTGCTGAAGTTTCAAAGTTTCGTAAGCTCGCTATTACGCTTTTATCTGCGACCCGTATATTTCCACTTTAATTTTGTGTACCTTCGCTTTGTATGGATTCACTTTTTAACAGTAAAGGGGAGATAATGACAGTGTTTTATCTTATCTCTCATAACATTCTGAAAACGTTTGTTGTGTGAGAAGTTTTATATAAGCAAGATGAAAATTGTATATTTTTATTTTTTCTTACTGGCTTTATTTACCTGATATTTGTAATTTATTAAAAATATGAAAACATCAAATGATATTATGTAAAAAAAAATTATATATCACCATTTTGTTTTTAAAGGTTGCAAATATACGCAATCAGAATTTGAAGACTTTTTGCGACAGACTTTAGATAAATGTAATTAATGATATAAAAAGGCAATGATTGCGAAGTTCACGATAGCAACGAGTTGATGATTATTGAGTGATAGATGGTCTGAATGGCTCACTTAATGAGACTTCTACTTTATTTAGCATCCCCCTCTCTCGGATTAATACGGCGCAACCCCCTTTTAATTATGCGGTCTGGAATTTATACCAAATTTATTAATAAAATTCAAGCCATACTCCTTTTTGGTTTCACAACTTATCGATGTATAATGTTATTGATGAACATTTATAGAGTATCAGCGCAATAGTTTATTTTTATATAACCGGGGGGCAATCGAGCACGAATCTCATCTGATGTTCCGTGATACCGCCTCCCATGGACGCACTGCCAGAAGCAGCTCTAAGAATATTATTTATATATACTTAGTATTACTTTGACATGGAAGAATTCATGGCATGGCATGGCAAGTACTTAAAAATATTTACATGAAGGTTTTGAAAATAAATAAGTGTAACGACATACCTATTATCGAAACGCAGAAGTTTCTTCATTTTTATTTAAATGATTTGAGGTTTTTATTCAATTAATTTCCATAGGTATTGTTTACTAGTATAAGAAAGGTAATTAAAATACAATTGCAGCAGACATTAAAAAAGGTAATGTTATTTTAAAAAAAGTATATGAAACTACTTTAAATATACACTCACAAAGTAATAGACGTAAACCTTTTTAACTTACATCGAATTAATATCCGACAAAAAGATCCCCATTTAAACTATCCCAGTATAATTCAAGCTTAAGCGTCTTTTCGTATAGAAAGAATTCGCATCGTGAGCACTCACTGCACACCTGAAGCCCGTTTTTATTCCTTTGTAGACTCAAGGATTGCTGAATACACATGATACTCAGCATGAAATTAAACGAAGTCTGATCTCACAGATTATCTTCTTTTATGCAGCTTGCGGCAACTCTTTTAACTCTATCATTAATTTATCTTTTAATTTAAAACTACCTAGGCTGCCTAAACTAAGTTATGTTTCGTTACTTCTTAAATGCTATTTTTCAATGACTTGGTCTTTGTTTTTGAAAACAATTATTTACGCGTAATTTAAATAAATACCTTAAGTAATGTTTTCCTGATATGGAGGTCTCGGGTACTACTCATATACTATATACTTGTCATACAACAAAATAAGGATAGAAAGAAAAATTATTGATAAAATAGATGCAATAGACGCGCGGGGAGCTTAATTCGAGTGCACAAACAATTAAATTTATTACTATTTTTCATTTCTTTATTTTTATTAAACTTTTAATGTAGTTTAACTAAAAGTTTAGTAGTGATAAAAATAAGTAAAAACCTTATACCAGCTTTTGAAAAGTAAGTTCCGAGAGATGGGAACTCGTGTTACAATAACGAGAGACCGGTAATGACGCCCCACGGCTATGCGACGCTTGCTAACAAAGTGATGTGTACAGTGTATATAATTAAAATTATTGCTTAAAATTAACCCATCATCATAAAATACAGAAAATAACAAAGGCAAAATATATAATGCTAAATAACAGAATCAGTTTAGTCAAATTAACACTATCATAATTGATTGGGTTTTAAAAAAATGCTAAAGTAAACTGGTATAACAAACCAGATACTTGTGCTGAAATAAGTATAAAAAATTTGCTATCTGCTAATTACTTTTAGTGTCGTAAACACCAGCCATTATCAGCAACGTACTCAGAGCCAGTGATTCCCCTGGCTTTATTGCTTGCTAAAAATAGTACAATATCCGCCACCTCGACAGATTCTGATACACGTTTCAGTGGAGCGTCATCAGATACATCTTCAAATTTCATAAAGCCAACACCAGCATTCTCCAACAGGTCTGTTTTTACAGGTCCAGGACTCACGATGTTTACCCTCACCCCTTTATTTGCCAATTCAAGAGCTGCGCATCGAGAGAAATGAGTCAATTCTGCCTTTGATATGTGATAGGAAATCATTGATGAATATGATGGAAGTGTTTTGCCAGCCACACTGGAGATATTTACAATATTTCCTTGAGTTTTTATTAAATGCGGAGTAGCCAAAGTAGTGATATTGATATGAGCCCTAACATTAACCTTCATAATCTCATCGTACGATTGTAGTATGTTTCCTTCTAAGATGCTTCCGAATCTTGTCAAGCCTGCGTTGTTAACAAGGACATCTAATTTTCCTAATTTTGTTATTACTTGCTATAACAAATTTTGGGCCTCGTTGTCATTAATTATATCTGATTTTAAAATGAGAGGTTTTTGTCCAACCTTTTCGATTTCATTTGCAACATTATTTAATTTTTCTTCATTTCTTGCTACTATTGCTACGATAGCACCTTCCTTTGCAAATTCAATTGCTGTAGCTGCTCCTATACCAGAACTAGCTCCAGTCACTAACACCACTTTATTACTAAAAATCATTATTTTCTTGTTGTTTACGCCTTTAGTACACCTACGCAATCGCATGCGGCAGCGAAACGACGAAAAAAACTGTAAGTTGTATGGCAACGTTTCGCATGTGTTTTGTCTCGCTCTAATATATATATAATAGTTGCGTCCTTGTCGGTATTGTTTCGCAAGTAACTGCGAAATGGCTGTTACACAGACGCAGACGTTTCGCTAGTAAAGTTTCGCATCGCAAGGCGTCACCACGCGTTCTGTCAGTGAGGACAGAATTTCGCACAATGGAAGCCGAAAATATTGAATTATTATTGAATTTGATTCGAAATTATCCCGAATTATATTTAGTTGGGCATGTTGATTACAAAATCCTCTTCAGAATCTGAAAGCGACGACTGGGACGACTCAGATGACATTCTGAAACGACGTCTGCACCTACAGCCCACGAAAGCTACAATGACATATCCTTGCGAAAAACCTGCAGTGTACTAACGTTCCGCAGATATTTCGCTACCGCAATTATTTCGCAAAGATTCGCAGCCGCATACGAACGCGTAGGTGTACTAAAGGCGTTAGTAACACGGTCAAAGAGATACTATTGCAGTAATGACGTAATTGCTTGTTTATATGTATTCTTTTCTAAATATTATTATCTAATTAATCTTTACGATGATAAATAGTTTCGCAAAGATTATTGTGGATGTGATTATTTAGGTAATATTGACAAAGAAACAAAATTAATCTTGGAGTATATATTATACTAGTTTATATATTGTAGAATAATAAAACTTTTATTTTATTCGTATTTGTATTATCATGAAAATTCGGAATAATTAAAAATAAATATACATATAATTTCAAGATAAATGTATTGTTTTTATGTTAAATTTTACAACCTTTTTGTGTTTGTTTTCTTGCTCAATCCAAAAATCTATAATTAAGTATTAAAAAGTTTAAATTAATTCTTAATACACCATCCATTATCAATTATATATTCCGAACCAGTTATACCATTTGCCTTGGCACTTGCTAGAAAAAGAATGACATTCGCAACTTCAACCGAATCTGATACTCTCTTAAGTGGAGTTTCAGGTAAAACATCTTCCATTTTCGTGGAACCAAGCCCTGCATTTTCCAATATATCCGTTGCTACAGGCCCAGGGCTCACCGTATTGACTCTAACACCTTTTTCAGCTAATTCTAAAGCCGCACAGCGAGAAAAATGACTTAATGCAGCTTTCGTGATGCAGTATGGAGTCATACCTATTGTCCCTGTTAGTGTTCCGACTACACTAGAAACGTTTACAATATTTCCTTTTGATTTAATTAAGTATGGTGCAGCTAAATTTGTAATATTAATATGAGCTCGAATATTTACTTTCATTACAGAGTCAAATGCTTCTAGTATTCTTCCATCTAAGATACTTCCAAATGTAATAAGACCTGCATTGTTAACCAATACATCCAATTTAGTAAATTTACTTATTACCTCTTCTATTACACGTTTTATTTCATGATCTTCGCTTACATCCGCCTTTATTACTAAATACTTTGCTCCGATTTGATCTATTTGTTTGGCGATTTTCAATAGTTTCCCTTCATTTCTTCCAACTATTGCGACAGTAGCGCCTTCTTTTGCAAATTCAATAGCAGTTGCCGCTCCTATGCCTGAACTGGCTCCTGTGACTAACACAGTTTTATTTACGAAACTCATTTTTTGTACGTATAAAAATTAAGTAATATACGATACTAACTATAACAACTACTGTACAACTAACTGTATCTTGAATATGATAAACTGAACTTTCAAATGCATATAATAAAAAGGTATTTAATGTTGCACGTTTCGTTATTAAATAGCGTTCGTAAAGCTATTACCTACAGTGATAAAATAAAAAGAAAACGTGAAGTGTTGATCCTTGAATATAATATACTTAGATATAATTGCTGTTGTAGGACATTTACATGTTATCTAATTCATTCGTCTGCGTCTGCATACATGTTTTTAAAGAATTGAAGACTTACTGACTGGTCTGAATTAATTTAACGTCAGTACTTTTTCGGCAAAATCTTCATTAACACTTATCGAGTAATTCAAAATTTATAATAAATGACTATTTCTGTGTTAAGCTTATTTAAACGCAAAAGTTGATAAACCTTTGTAGGCATTAAATAACTAAAAGATAATATATCATAACTATCACACAACTCGGTCAGATTGAAGCGATAATGGTGATAGCAAAATACCAATTTCCTTTATAAGAGATTAATGTATAAAATAATTGCACTGGCGTACATTTTTGAATTGAAATTTAAACAACCATATACCACTTACTTAAATTCGGTTAACTAAAAGAAGATTCAATATTCCCCGAAAACAGATAAAAGCTGTCTTTACGTTTGTGAAAGTAATAAGAAGCAGATACTTCTATTGTTTACCAAGCATCCTGATTCTTTGTTTAAAGTTGTATCTCTCCCGCTCTTAAAAACGAAAGCGAGCCTATTAAGAAATTTCATTTCCTTTCGTTTATATTCCGTAAAGTTTATGAAGTCTTTCTGGAATAATTTATAATATAACTTTCTAAAGCCTCTTGAATAATTGACGTCTACTTCCTTAAAAGTAAAAATTTGTATCTCATTGCTTCAAATACAAATAGTCTTCTTAAGAATTATATATGGAATAGGCAAGATGGTTTTGTTAGTGTGTAATGTTTATTAGGTTTGAAATTACAATGGGTTACGCATTACGCGTGAAGGTTACCATAGAGATGGTTGTTTAGTGTAGATAACAATTACATTTGTAAGACTTAAGATAACTATCTACTTAAGGTCCATTTGCCCTTAATCCATTTAGAAAGTCGTTAAATATCAGCCATAAGCTATGTTATTTTAAAGTGTGTTTGTAAGAGTGCCGCCGTCATGTCGTGGCAGTTTGCCAGATACAGTCATCTTACCTACATTTGGGAGAGGGCAGCCATAAAGATCCTCAAGAGCGATGCGGTCATGAACTTGTGATAATTGCGCAACCAATAAACAAAATGGGTTAATCGATTTGAGGGTAGCATTTGCTAATTAAAATAATATTCGTCCCATCCTCATTAGACGGTAGCTGAAAGGGAACGTACGTACATAGTATTTAAACAGAGCAGATGATTCAACAAGGCTATACAAAACGATAGCTTCTTTTACTTCAGTTACAGGATAATATAATTAAATATGTCCACAACATTAACTATTTTGTCCTTGTTAACTTCCAATGAAAAATATTGTATTAGATGGATGAAATGCAATTTTAATTATTATAATTAAATTATTAATAAAACAGTATTTATTAACAAAAGAATACATTACGAGTACTAAGGAATAAGATGATAATAGAAATTAGCTGTTATTTCAGCACATTACTCTAACAAAGAGTATCTTGGCCTAGTTTTTTCTAAGAGACGAGGCACCGTGCCCGGTTCCATTACCTTCATTTGTTTTTTCTGTCATACTTTCGTTTACACTATATATTATATTATTTTAATTGCGTTCATTGTTTCACCGCTTCCGTAACTCATGGTTTATTCAATGAATCGAGCCCGGGAGCTTGGATTCCATTCAGGGCAAAATATACTTTTTTCCGTTATTGTTAGCCTAATGGGAACTCAACTCTCGTGGGGTTGCCTCACCGTGCTAACTACGTCAGAGCAATTTTACCACGGGCAAATCAAACTCGCTCGCGACAAAGGATCGTCGTCAGGAAACCGTGGTGGTGAGACTCAAAGTCAGGCAACGAAGATAAACTACTGTCGATAACAAATCACATTAAAGAATGCAACAACATTAAATAGTATACATATCTACCCAAGTCTCCTAGAGAGCTGTAGCGCTACTGAATGTAACTTTATATATTTATGCTATATAATGTGGATAAGAAATATTATGGCATTAACTCAAATTGGTGATTAAAACTTGGTATGACCCGACGCGGTTAATGTTCCTTATCGAGGTTTCTTGTTCGCGTTCCAAATGCTCCTAATATAGCGTAATGTTCTAGCATCTTCGAAAGTAATGGTCTATTAGTAGACCGCTTGATATTTTCTTTAATTACTTACGATATATTGTGGAATAGCGAACCACAGCTTAACGTTCTTGCCGATAGTAAGTTAAAAAAAATCTTCTCTATCCAATTAGATAAAGGAGGTGAAAAATCTTTAAACAAATTGTTTCGTGACTATTTTTTTTTATTGTTCGTTGTAATGAAAAGAGCGTCTTTTTCGGTTTTGAGGGTAATTTATTTTATATTAGATGTCCTGAAAGTCCCTATATAAAGTTCTTGTGCTTGTTGATATTTAATTAGTTTACACACAGGAGCTGCAATACAAGAAAGTATGTTACTAACGCGCCTTTTTCTTGTCGTAATTAAAGGTAACGCAATGTTTTAGTTTTAAAAATAAATTATATAAATCAAAGAAAAACATTAAAGGGGCTTCAACCATTATATCTCTTTAAAGGCAAGTAGGCGATCAGCGTTTAATGGACACAACGTCAATTTTTGGATTTTATCCTTAAGGCCCTATTCCAGCACGAATTGCTGTGTCAGTGTCTGCGGGGCGCAGTTGAGAGCTGGAGCACTGAGGCGCGCCGGCCCGTAATAACAATTAGTTATGTAAAACATTAAATTAATGTATTCTTATCAATTTTTTAAAATATATCGTGTTAATTTCAAAATCATGTTCTATGTACATTTTCGTCATAAAATGAATTGAAAGTGTCAAAAATTGGCTATGTTTGTTTTTTTTCTATTAAGTGAAATTATTTAAATCGTGTATCGATCTTTCAAAATGGATACATAAACTACTCAACTCCACCATAATTTTTTCCATTCTCCCTACTGAAAAAAAAAAATAAAAAAATAAATGATGACGAAAAATGGAAAGAAACAATGTACTTTCTTGGAGTTAGGCGACCATATAGGTCCTTAAAACCAACATGATGGTTTATACCATTGCCCTATAAAGCTGAAGTTACATAACATGCATGTAAATTGTAACTGTCGGATATGAAATTAAATATATTACGGAAACCCGTAGACATAAATAAGAAATCTAATTTGGAATGTTACTTACATCATCATCAGCCTCAGTGATGTTGAACACATTTTCAGATCTTATATGTACACGAGTAAAAAATTGTATGTGTGCAATTAATACTAGCTCATACGGTGAAGGAAAAGTGTAAGATGAATATATACTGTGAGAGAACTGCAATGTTTAAGAATACGTGCAGTAGTTTAGATACGTTGAGTGTAACTTTGACAGTTTTGTGTCAGTAGTTCACGTAAATGTTTACGCAATGTGTTTATCGTAATTTCATATGATTTTTTAATGATAAATAAACAGTGTCCTCAGTACACATTTACCAACTTTTTTCAAATATGTATTAGAATGTCAGTAAAAGATTGCATTAAGCATTTACTTCACGTAAGTGCTTCCTTTTAGCACAAAAGTTGCATATAAAGCCCTTCTTTAGTTCTTGAAAACAAAAGTTTCTCATAATATTTATAATTTGGAAAAAGCTCTTATTGTATTTATGAAAGTTAGAATGAACCTATTTGGTATTCATGATAGCGAAGGCTAATGTAACAGATGCTCTGCAATTGGCTATTAATCAACCACAAACCAACGTCGATTCAAGATGACTGGCGATTAATTGCCCAGTTGACGGGGTAAAGCTCGAAACGTTTTTTAAATGTATTCTGAATTTAAACATTTTATAAAATTCACTTTTAGTATCATCATTCATCGTGGATTCATGTGTATCCTTTTTCATAACACTTCTTTTGTGATAATATTGGTATTCGGTATTTGAGTATGTAGTGTAGTGATTTATGATTAGATATTTAAAGTTTGTTGCAAAATTACTTGGAATTTCGGTGTCATGTCGATGATTTTATTCATGATTTTATTTAGGAAGCAGTATAAGTATCATCGGTTAAGTAGGTTTTGGTTGGTTATGTTCTTTAGTTATAGTTACGATATAGGCTATATCAATATTCTAAAATTTCTATATTATAAATTTATCAAACTACTACAGCAAATTAACAAATAGTTTTGATTTAAGTATTGTATGGATTACATTATACTTTATAAAACAGAGTACAACAGCTTTTGATTGGAAATGTTTGTTTAATCTTATTTTTACGTAAAGTAATTATAATAATAATAATTTTAATATTTTAACAGTCAGAGTTCACTAATAGTTGAGCCATTTGCGTCTGATAAAAAACAATTGAATATGCGTGCAATTTCAGTCCAGCATCGTTTAATTCAAAAGCAACGTAAAGTGTACGAGTGCAACTGATAGTCGTAATTGAAGTTGAATCCGGGTAATAAATTGTGAGTGCGGGCGCGGCGTCTCAGGGGAAATTATTGACATTTCTTTTTCAACAAATTGCAATACTGCGATCTACAAGACCGTATGCCGCGGAAGAACTAGGAGATTTGCAAAAAATGTTTTTTATTATTTTTAAATTTGGAACGTGTTTCAGTATGTGTTTGATATTTAAAAAAATACCACATTATTGAAGTTCTTAAATCTTTTAACACATAGTAAAAACGTTGCCAAGCCTACATAACTTAACTAAAAGTATTGTTTATAAAAAGTACAACACAAGTTTACGTACAGCCCCGAATAAGTGCCTTTGAAGTATAACCGTATTAATAACGACCC